CCCCGAGCATGGTTGCCCTTCGGTTTATTCTCCGCGGTGGATTTAGCAACATGTAGTTCACGTAGTTCTCCATGTCCACTAGTTGCTGATGGTTGTGTTAGAGGAGCTGTATATTTTGCACTAACATCTGCTACTGCTACTGACAGCAGCTACTGACCATGCTACAGCAGTGAGCAGCAGAGGTGGGGAGAGGCGGGGCTATGGCTTCATCGTTATCAGGAAATGATCGTATAGGATGTACACACAGAGCCGTTTGCCCCCCCAGAGCGTTCCGTCCGCAGATCTATCCACCTTGGGACCGGTTATCGTTTTAGGAGTCCGTGGTTCCGTGGTTCCGGTACGGCCTCGTGTGAATGAACGGGCTATACGAAAGAGAAAAGCAGCGGATACAACCCGTTTCGTTCCCGTGTAAACAGCACCTGAGACTGAGCTGTGTCAATGGCATAACCGTTTCACCTTGAGTATGTCCACTTACTATTCCTTTTAAAGTCTCTTGAATTGTGGATGGTTGCAATTTCTCTTTACATATTGGATCATTAAGAGAGCATTAATCACCTTCCCTAATGTCTAACAGTCAGTGGGAAATGCAGTGCGTTGATTGAGAAGAACACAGGCTTGGGTGCACACTAATACTTCACATAGCAGGCACAGATTAGGAAATAGCATTGGAGTGTCAGGAGTGAGAATTTGCGGTACAGCATTTTTTAATGCTAATAACACTTAGGATTATTACACAGCATATTTTGAGCAATAATCTAGTTTTCATCATTTATGTCTTTATTTATACTTTTACCAGATGTTTTACTTTTTTTTTTTATGGTAACATAAAAAAAAACACATTGTAGTACAATACACATATTTATAATCCAGTTCATATAAATATTTTCTTCTTTTTTTGCAAATGTTTACTTTAACTTCCAATGTTTAAATTTGTTCCTTGATTCATTTATATTATTTATACTATAAAATAAAATAACTGTGAAAACTTAAAGTATAGATATTGTGATTCAGGTTTGTATGCCCTCTCATCCAGCCCTACATCTGTCCTCACCTCTTCCCCCTCTCCATCAGGCCTGACGGCGTCCTCCAGCTGCAGGGGGAGACGAGCCTCCGACTGGCTGATGACAAAAATCTGAGTCGGGGAAGAATCAAAAAGCATTAAGATTCAGAGGGTGTCAAACCACCAACGTTTCGATCATATGTTCTGGCAGTGGAAAGTACCTGGAGTTCACATACAGTAAACGTATAACAGTAAAAGTGTCATGAGAGCTTCATCTGTTAAAACCTCATCTATGTGTTACTGACAATGTGTTAAAACTAGTGGGTTTCCTGTTAACTGTCAGGTGCAGCCTGTGGATAAAAACTCTAGAGAATTATCGTGTTGCATTTAACTGCATTACAATGGAGTGTGTCCCCTATATTTTGTCTCCAATCACTAACATATGAAGTATTACATACTATTAAAACCTCATCTAGGGAGTTTCCGAGCTGCCAAATAAAATACAAAGTTGGTGGATAAAAAAAGAAGAAATGTAATACAATTCACCAAGCAATACTGTTTATGTTACAAATGTATGTTATCCTCTCTTTTTATAGTTTGTGGTGTGGCATTTGATAGCATTAAAGAGGACAAATGTTCAAAAAAGGTCTTTATTTGTCTCATACTGTCTGTGTCTGAAATTAGAGCTCTGGTTGGTTCGCTGGCCAACTGTGTTGTGATTGGTCAACAGCTTAGAGAAGTCTTGGCACTTAGCATATTAAATAAATGTGTTGGAGCACTAGCCAATAGAAGCACCTATGTCATTATGTAAGGGAATGGAGTCCAATGGAGGCATATCAGGCGGGGGGACTAGAGGGAACTTTGTGATTTCACCCTACTTTAATTACAACTAGCAAGGTATACTAATTAAACATAAACCCACATGTGATGCTTTGTCATAACAAATAATTATGAACTGTATTGAGTGAGGAGCGTGGTGTGCGTGTGCCTGCGTGCGTGCATGCGTGCGTGCGTGTACATGTGTTGCAGTGTAAGTATGCCCACCCTCTCGATGTGCAGCTCCACGTCCTGCTGGGTACAGCTCTCGATCTTCTGCTCCACTTTCCTTACCGACGCCTCCACGTCTACGATGCTCTCCTTGGTGATGCTGGTGGAGACAGTTGGGAGGGGGGGGGGTTTGTGTAAACAAGAGATAGCACTTAGAAAACAAACTCATCTGTGTGGGTGGCTAACTGCCTGAGAACAATATTTCCATTAAAGTGTGACTGATGATTCATGTTTCATGGTGTAATGTGCAGGGGGTGGCGAGGGCTATGGTTGAGTGAGTCTGACTTGGGTGGTGAGGTGGGGGGGGTGGGTAGTGAGACGATAACCAAAATCACCACAGATTCAATACAAAAAAATCAACAATGCAGGGAAATTGAAAGTTGAGATACCACAAGCTTGCGGCTTTCAAATAAAACTTCTTTCCTCCTTCTTTGCAACACAAACGCATGTCTCCTTACGTTAAGCTCAACTAACCGTTGCAGGGTAGAAAACATTTCCACATATCTGTCTTTAGAGAGATTTGGCAATCTGTTATGGAATAGCTCCAGAAGTTACACCTCAATTTTAAAAACGTCGATATAAACTCTCCAGCCTTAAAATGATTCCTGTCAGCATTATATATTTTCCCTCCAAAAAGGGACAGTTTTATTTTAGAAATTCTATTCATCCTATGAAACACACTGTGATTTTGAGAGGTAAAAAGGCCCTACTGCTTATCAAAAAGAGGGGGTTTCACTATTAAACTAGCATCACAAAAAATGATAAGGATACATTATATTCAGTGGTAGAATTGTACTTAAGTACAATCTAGAGGTAGTTATAAATATGTATCCCCTCTGTGTAAAGAGATTCTGAAAGTTTCAGGAAAAAAGATTCTCTCTCTTCTTGTCCTGATCCATTTATATAAAAACCTGTCGACGGCCAGACATCTATCGATGGCCGAAATCGGCCCTGAGAGTGTCCGGGCCTTAAAGTAACAGACAGAGAATCAGCACTTTTGAAACAGGGCTGAAACAGAGGGGTTTATGGGATGCTATAATGCACGATCTGTTTGGTATTTTGAGCCAAAGACTTCAGAGCCATGTTTTGTCTGAGACCTATAATATATTGATGAAAAAGAGTATAATAGGAGACCTTTAACTTAAAGATCCAAATATTTCTCCACAAAGGTTTAAAGTAACGTGCAGTGTCACATAGTTCCCCTTACTAATTGTTTACCAGTCAAGAAAGACAAGTAAATGCACAGGCGAGGTGGAGGGGGATTGCTGAGCTTTGAGAAAAGGGTTGTAGCTTACATCCTTTCACAGCTCCTGGAAAGCACCTAGCTAAACAAGAAAAGCAGTTTGATGTTGCCCCTGAGGTGAAGAATTGCCCCATTATACAGAGTATAAAACAAACTACAGCATGTGAAGGGAGCCCATTCCTAATTTCGTCACATCGTCCTACACAGGTTTGTCAATGAAACCCAGAGCATCATCAGAGATAAGAGGAACAATACTGACTGTCATGCCGTGCGACGAGGCCAGATGGGAGACCTGCTGTAATCCTTCACTCCTCCTCATTAAAAAGCAGTAATGAGGGACTGAACACTGGGGTACTGCTGTCCCTTCAGCCCCACCACAGCTGCCGACATATTCCTTCCCCCCTGGTAGGAGATCAGTTGGATAAATAAATCCCCACATTAATAACCCATGCTGCACGGCCGTGAGGCTGGCGGCGGCGGCATATTCGGAAACAGACTGATTGTCTCAGGAGGTGACAATATCACACAGAGAAGTGAAATAAGAGAAAAGAGGGATAGAGATTGCCTTCATTCTGAATAATGTCCCAGGAAGGCAACACACTGGCTGTGAAGGACACATATGGCCATTACTTCAGCTAATAATGCATCACTAAATAAAACAAGAGGCCAGCAGAGCTCACTTTCCGTTTGAAAAGGTGAAAGACCCTCAAACAAGTACCATTACTATTACTACTATTATTATTATTATTATATATTTATTTGTTGTTCCTTTCTTCTCTTTTCTTTTCTCTTCTCTATTATCTGTAAAGCGTCTTTGAGCACCTGTAAAAGCGCTAACAAATTAAATCTATTATTATTATTATTACCCTCACTTGAACTCATTATCCTGCAAGACTTCTGACCGCTGTGCTGCTGATGACTACAAAGACACACAAATAATAAAACAAACAGGAGAAACCGACAGGCCTTTTGCACTAAGGTTAAGGGGATAAGAGGCAATGCTATTGTGTCTTCTAGGTGCACTTTCTAAACAAAGGGAGCAGCAGCAATGAAATGTCACACACCTCCATTATGTTGGAGAGAAGCCATTGACCGAAAGACATCTCTAAATATCCACAAGGAAAGGCCGATCCAAAACGTCTACATACCAGTGGAGGAAGATGAGAACATGTTTGTTTCTTAAATATGGATGAATCTTCTTTTCTAAAACTTATTACATTTTAAGCGCTTTGAGCACAAGGAAAAGCGCTTTATAAATGTAATGTATTATTATTTTATTTTGGTGGAGGGCTGCTAACCTGATCCCACACACGACAGAGGATGCTATGATTCTTTCAAATTAGGGCTTTAAATAACAATTATTTTTATTGTTTTCTAGACGAAGCAATTCATTGTTTAGTCTATAAAATGTCAGAAACTAGTGTCAAAGGTTCATCCCTGTTATTCAAATGCCAATGAGATGTTTTGACGTGTCTATAAGCACAAAGGTATTCAGTTTATTATGAAATACATCTGAGGAACTCTACGCTTGAGATGCTTAAAACAGCAAGCTCTGAAATAATTATTGCAGATTAATGGTTAATCAAAATAGTTGCAGATTCTTTTCTGTCCATTGACTGATCAATAAGTCAACTTATTGTCGTTGCTCTTTTTCAAACACGTGTCATTCAAATTAAATATTATTTAAGAAGCTGTGATTGAATCCCGTAAGTCAAGGTAGTATCAAATCTACGAAGATCCTCAGACAGGTTTATTATTCCTGTTTCAGCTCATATCCCTTCTCCCCCCCACCCCGTCGCTCTTCAAGGTACTTGAGCAGAGTAAAGGTTGCAGAGCCTGAAGATCACTTAATTAAATTGTGTGAGTGAGAGGAGGATGACTTGGACATACAATCTGTGAGAGGAGACTTCCGGAGCAATGTCATCAGTGCTCTTGTGATTATGAGAGGATTTACTTGTAATCCAGGGTCTTACTCGGCTTGTCAGACAGGGGCCACAAAGCCACAGGAACTGATAGTGCCAACTGTTTTTAACCATTGACATATAAAAAGCACATGACATTTAAACGCTCTGAAACTCTGGGTCATTATTTTCCTTGTAGCATAACTTCACTATTTTGTTTTTCATGTCATCACTCTCACTTGCTCTGTTTTGTGGCAATGTGTTGCATTAAAAATCCAACTGCCCAACCACAACTTTGCAGAACCACATTGAGAAACCGTGCAATTTAAATAAAATCATCCTACAGTTTCAAGGATCTATTGAAATGTCTGTTCGATGTCCTTAACACAATATCATGTGAAATACAGAAAACACTTCTACAATATTAAACAACATCTAGCTTAAAATGTGGTCCTTTTTTCTGCCTGGGCTTAGTGTGCGGGGGAACTGAAACTGAATTGTAAAAATGTCTGGGAGCAGTCAGCTGAGCGGCAGGGGAACCACGGTGTGGTCAGGGGATTCTGACGCTTCTTACAAAGTGGGGTCAGCGTGTTCAGGCAGAGGTCAAAGCTGGGGTCTGAGCGCCGGTGACCTCGCCCTTATTAGAAACACGTCCCGGTATTTGGCTTTATTTTCTTGTAAACCGCTACAAACTGTCGAAGGGTTCCTGGGTTCTCATTTACAAAAACACGAGTATAATGAATGTGGTAAAATGGTCATTTATGCACATTTTCCTCAGACATTTAGCAGCTCAGACTTGTTTACTAAGGCTCAGGCAGGTGCGTACACACACTTCAACATTAATCACTTACTTGTATCATTCTTTCATACTTTTGATGAATCTGGCTGTACTGAATGTTTCTAAAACTACTACAGTGATATTATACATTGTGTTGTAGATGCTATCTAATAACCCAGTATTCTGTAATAGGGATTGTTTTTCCCAAAAGATCCGCAGAGAAGAGTCCCTCGTGGCTATGAGGTCACTGTCTAGAACAAAGGGAAGTCTCACATGTCCTAACGATGTTTGCTTAGTCAGTAATATGCAGTTAGAAGTCAATCTAAACTGGTTTTTTCGCAAGTTTTGTAAGATTCTGTAGGAGGATGAAACCACAGACACTTCAATATTCAGTATAAATGGCAGCTTTTTGCGAGACTCTAAGGCTATGATAGCTGTTTGTTAATGCAAGGCTCCTTTTTTTTTTAAACACAGCTGCAATCTCTGCATTGCTTAAGCACCTTGTACCTTTGTATGAAATGTGTTTGTAAATAAAACGACCATGCCTTTCCCAACTTCTTCATTATCCAATGTCTTAACTGCCATTATGGTGTGGCAAACTGCAGTAGCAGGTGTTGCCCTTTGCCTAATTAAGCAATACCTGCCATTTCAGAAATACATGTTAATTATGATCTTTAACAAGGACAAATAGCAATGGAAGACAGATACTGATGAAAGCAATATGTGTTTTAGCATATACCATGAATGATGTTATATTTGAAGCCTTGTGAACATCACATTTCAGTCTGAAGTGGCACTAAGTCAGCCGTCCCCCTTTTGTGGTTTTAATAAAGTGCATATCCGATGATAGTCAGGTTCATTTACAGTCTAACGGTAATGGGCTACAATTTGGCTGCGAACTTGAATAATGATGCTTGGCTCTTAAGTATTTCCTCCTCCTCTGATCCGAGCTGTTGTATTTGCCATCTCGACAGGAACCGCTCCATTAAAAAGTGCTGTAACCTGCCATGTTAACAGCCAGCTTTTGTTGTGGAGTGAAAAATGATTGATTCCCCCACCCTCCACCCTCAGAATGTGTGAAAATGGATCGGTGGGACGATTAGGGCCCAGGGTTTTCCCACCATTGTTTGCGCCCTCTCTGACAGGAAGAGCGGTCTCGGTACTCACTTTGCGGCAAACTTGACCATCTGCTTGCTGGCACGATCTCCCACTGCGACCAGCGCCTGCACGTTGAACTGCTGCTGACGCAGGACCAAGAAGCATTGCTTGCCTGAAAACAAAACAACAACAAATGCGGGGATGTTAAGATCTCTATTATGCATGATTGACATGCTTGTCATAATAAAAGCTTAGGAAATCTCTCTGAAGCAATGTGCTTTTGTTCAGTCAGAAGTCTACGTGTGACTCCAGCTGGAAGGACATTCCTTGTCTACAGGTAAAGTGTCAAACGTTTGTGAGCGCAGGATTCTCTTTGAAGAGCACTGTGTGGAGAAAGGGTGATTGCTACCTTCCTAGCAAACACACACCTAGGAAGAGTGTAAACAAGTTAGCCAACAAAAACTCTGGGCAGTAGACAGTCAGACCACCCAGGTACTTTGATGTTTGTTGCCTGTGAGAAGGGGGTGGGTGGTGGGGATAATAGCAAAGCCAAGATCCCACCAACAGATGCATCTCATCCCAGACCAAATCAGGATGTTATTCTGCTCACGCGGACATCCTTACAGCGAGCCAGGAGAATAAAGACATGAAGGAGGGGAAGTGACTTTTGACTCTGGAAGTTATCTTGAGAGGAAATGGGCCAAAAGATAATCATTCAGACTTGGGTTTATTTGGAATCACAAGTTCACAGCAGAAAAAAAAAAAAAAGCTTGGCGTTGATATAGAGATCCAATAACCTGGCAAGGCTCAAGAGGTTCATTGTATTCAAATAGAGACACTTCATAGCTGCCAGTAGCTGGTGCCTGACAAATGGAGGTTATGCCAGCTTCCAGTTGGCGGTGACATGCAAAGTCTGACTATGATTGGTTCAGCTTGTCAAACTCTGCTTAACATGGAAGGAATGCTCTGCGAGTGTCTGCACAATCCCAGAGGAATATATAGGAGAAGATGGGGGGGGAAGTCTTATACAGTTTGGTATCACGCTTTGTAATAAACACTGACTGGTTATGTTGTGGTTTTTGAACCTCACTGTTATTCAACCTGAGGAGATCGATATCAGTATGGCAGCTGTGAATAGTCAGTGTAATTAATAGTCATTTTTCTTCTCCTCTCTTTCTCATGTAGCACATTTTTATATATTGTTAGGGAACTATTAAAAACTGGGGTTTCTTTTGGAGTTGCACTGACTAAAATAACAACCCCTTCCTTATTTAAATGTTTCATATGTTTCATGTCATCATATTGTAATTGCCATCTGTAACTGACATTTTTCAACTTTAATCTGTTAATCTTTGTTTACATTTTATTCAATGCTGCTTATTTTAAATTAGATTTTCTTTTTTGATCGAATTTACAATGTTGAGATAAATCGACTAATCTGCCAAATAGTCAATAGAGTCATCAATTTATTTTTGGTTTATTTGATAGGGACAGTGCATTTTAACTTTTAACGAACATCAGTGTAAAATTCAAAATGTAAAAGTGCCGACGTAAGCAAAAATGCAAATGTACACCCACACTCCCTAAGCCGTTTACCAACAGTACAAGTCACAATACAAAAGTAATAATACAAAATAATAAAGTGGAAAGGAAAATAAAAATATTAACCACAGTCCTAGTTTGCCTCGCTATTAGTTCTAAAAGCAGAATGTTGGGCTCTCCCTTACTACAGTATGTAATCGTTAGAAAATGGGAAATCTAAAAGCAAGTCAAAGTCAACAGGTTTTGTGGTTTGTTCTTGAAGAGAAGGCAGTGAAGAGTAGAGCTTGCCCAAGGGCAGAAGCTTTAGCTATTTTGCCTTTGTACACCGAGGATTATCACAGGGGTCATCTAATCTTGGCTGTTTGTGTCTTCTGCACAAAGATAGTATCTCAAAGCTGAAAAAAAGATGAACAAAGATGTGGTGGAGGGTGGGGGGGGGTCTCACCTTTGGCTCTGCTGGTGTGGACTCGGGCACGCAGCCAAATCAGCTGGTCAGCTTTCTCAGGAGAAAGGTCTTCGACCCGCACCAACACCCTGTCTGTCTCACACACACACACATACACACAAATAATGTATTACTTCAAAGCACGTTTTCTGGCTCCATTTCCCCACACCTGAGTAAAAAAACTAACATTCCCCTGCACACTCCCAAAGGCAGAAAGAAATGTGAATAAGCATGCTTGTGCGTGTGCAGACGAACACACAATAAAATGCTCAAATTACCGTGGTGCCTAATAAATAAGACACACTAGTAGGGCTGTTGAAAAGCTGTCCAACTCAGCCTTTTCTCTGTGGGCTTTATGACAAATTGACTCTGGTTTCACCTGTGTCACTCAGAGGCATGCTTTCTCCTTATTATCAGCGAGGAGAAGCAGCAGACACTGAGGCAGCACTGGAGAAAACAGAGCCGCCCTTTTGGCTGAGAACTCCACGTCAACCCACATGAAAGCCCTCACCCCCCGTCCTCTAACCCCCCTCCCCTCCCAATGGTTTGGATCGGCATGCAGGTGAGGGAGGCCCCAGTTTGTTTGCTGCCACTGGAGCTGAAAGAGCATCCAGACAGATGGACGGCCTCTTTGATCCCAGAGCTATCTCACACTATTAGTTACTGCAATTATCGCCGCTGCAATCGCGTTGAGAGGAGACACCAGAAGCATTTTCCACAGTGTTTATCAGTTGTAATGGTGTTATCTGTAACTTTCTGACAGCCAGACCAAGGTACAGTTATCTGAGAGGTTGTGGATCAGGAAAACATCCTGTATCAAAACATTTAATTTGAGAGTTGCCGCACATTATCCATTTCAGGATGCCTTGTTATCATGTCATAAGATGTCAAGGTGAAATATGTAATTTAACCATGTGTAACCTTTGCTTACAACACAGGGCTGATTCATGTGTGCATTGTCCGTGTGCATTTAACCCAAGAAGGACGGAGAATCTTGAATCGTTGCCCTTCTTTAGGATTTATTTATTTTAAAACATTAACGAGACCCTATTTATTTATTATTCCTTTGTTTACTTCCGCGACATCACTATGTAATACTTGCGCTTCTATTGGATAGCACTCCAACAAATTGTACGTGATAGGCTAAGGGGCAGGACATATTTAAGCGTTTGACCAATCACAACTGAGCCAGCCAGCTAACCAATCAGAGCAGACTGGGCTCTGGTTTCAGACAGAGGGTGAAAAGAGGTGCTGCAGCACAGGCAGTATGAGAAATAAAGACCTTTTTGAACATTAAAGCATGGAAAGATGTCACAGTAGAGGCACAACATAAAAATTAGAATAACAGGGACCCTTTTAACCAAACTAAAAAATAGAGTACATTGTGAAGTGAATCTCTACAGTGGTAAGGCATAGCCAAATGCATTAAAATAACAAGACGGCACCTTGCAAAAATCTGAATATTTAAAAGACTTCGGGTAAGTTTCAGATGATTGACAAGAAACTAAGAACGATGCAGCACACAGATAAGAGCGAAAACACTCAACACTGATACCTGGAAATAAGAGAAAGAATACATTTCGGTTCAAACCAAGCGAAGTCTTGTTGAAACAGATTCTGTGAATTTGTGACAATGGAGGAATACATTTGACTGAAATGCACATCACTATGCTGACTTTGACACATGTTTGGAGAAGAAAGCGACATGTGGCACATAATACTACAAATATCTAAAAGATAGTTAGTAGTTTAAGTTGAAATTAAACTTGCAGTAACATCCAGACCAAGCAAAAGCTCATCCCATTATTACTGAAGAACAGAAAGATATATCATCAATCTTCATGATCTAGCTACTATTTGCATGTGTTTTCAGCAATGAGAGGCATTTCCGTTGCTTGTTATGTTTGCTCAAGGAAATAACGTTCCTACTAACCCAGTTTTTGTTGGGACTGGACCATCGGCGGCACACCATATCTGTCCTTGGCGAAGTCCTGAAAGAAGAAGAGCATGCCATCAGAGATCAGCCACTTGATCAAACGTCTAAAGAAAACATCACACCACTTTATGCGTATGCACCTCTAACTCCATTGTTCTCAAAAGCAACTCTACCACTTTGATTTCATACGCGTCAGTGTGTCTACTACATCGGAGATAACACCCTTCCAGAGCAGATAATCAGGCTTATCACGGTGTTAGAGAGAAAATTGTCTAACAGAAAATGGAGACACTGACTTCAGTGTGTGAGCATTTGCATACAAACTGTTGCAAAGGTGTGAAAGCAAAAGGCAGAATCTCATTCAGAGAGGAAGGCAGGGAATAGGTCTTAGAGGATGAGTACTGTGTTCTGTAGGGGGATACTTACATCTTCCTCTGAGCCCTGCTGGTCGGCAGCCTGAAACACAAAAGAGGGCACAGGGATTTGAAGGGCATTGCAAATAGCCAGGCAACAGGACTATCCATTGAACATTTTCAAAAACAATGGAGCGACTTAGAACGTTTTGCTACAGCAGTCATGTAAATTGTGTTTCATATCTTGTGCTATCAGGGATTCGAATAAAATTACTAAATCACAGCTCGAGCCTCAGATCCCTGGAATACACGGCTCTTTTTCACATTGCTCTAACAAATCATAGACAATGAGTAATGGCAGGAGGAGATACGACTTTGTAATAGAAACAGTGTAAGTGGACAGATTCTTTATCTCCGCACCGACTTCAGGCAAATGAGTCCCAGAGTGCGATGAGCTCGAGTCTTGGCAAAGTTACAATTCCATTTCCTATGCAAATTGATATTGGTGTATTGAAATGGCTGGTGGCAGTAGAGCGAATTGGAATCGCCCATCCTTGATATGATAATCCATTCGCATGATGGATGATATTGCAGCTTATGATCAGCTGGATATAGACCTGCTACGGCCACGTGCGACAGACCCTCACCGGAGACACTGAAATATCAAGTGTCAGCGCAAAAACAACACAACGGTAAATAAAAAAAGCTAACACTCCCTCCACGAACATTCAACTCAGCTCTCAGGTGCCCCCCCCCAGGAAATGCTTACTGTGCCACACTGATGTGAGCAGCAATAGCCAGAATATTGGTGACACCTGCTACTTCAATGAAACTTGCTGACTGGGTGAATTCAGATGGAACACAGGATACGTTAAGTCATGACACATGAAAGTGCAGGATGTGTAATTATTTTGTAATCAGCCCGTCTCAAGCTAGACTACATTTTTTGTAAATAGGGATACAGGTTTCCTTTTTTAATATAGATTTTGCTTTGAAATATTATTTAGGGATGTACTGACACCGATCAGGATATTAACGTTATTGGGCAATTGGACCACCGTTACCAATCCACATTAAATAATGACCTAATGTGAGCCGATTATGATACTTAGACTTTTGCCATTACTGTGAAACTAAAGGGAAATGTCAATTGAAATGTAGGATTTGAAGAGAGTCCACTTTAAATCTTTGCACATGTACACACATTGAAATGTGGACTCTGCAGTTACCCCTTCCTGGTTATATTATATAACCTCTAGGTCACAAGTCCCACATTTGTTAAGAGTTGGCTTATGTTCTCAACAATTCCTTTTTCTTAACTTTAGTCTGGGAGTTGTATGGAAACAGTGAATTGAATGATTAATGAAGAACATAATACATTTGTTACCATGTTGAATAAAGCTCAGGAGAGATGCTCAATGTAAGGACTGGCATTACGTGGTATTAACATCATTGCATTTAAGATAAACACAATGTAATTTTAGCAGTTCATTTTCTGTTAGTAAGGGAAGAAACAGATCAAAACCTGTATTCTAATTATAATGTATTAGTTGAAGGAAGCCTCATACTAACTTTCCAAAAGAATGATCCCATTAGGTTCTTGTAACATTGGTAGTGTTACACAGATTATTACTCCACATCAGAAGATACGCTATGTTTAGGAATTGGTGTCAGTGTACGGACTTAAAATTCAGATGGCTGCATCTCCAAAGTTTAAAAAAGCTCATAAATAAAGCTCAAAAACCGGTGTCATCTGAGGTAATGGAATCAGACACATGCACAGCGGCCTCTGATGTGTGTGAAATACAAACTAAATTGGCACTCCACGTATTTTGGCAAAGGCAACTAATTCACAAGCTTTGTTGGATTCCAGAGAAACAAAGAACTCAGTTTGAAACCCTGTTGGCAGTATTCCTGTAGAGACGGGTTCATGAAGTACCCTATAAAGTCTTTACTGTATGAAAACCAAAAGGTCCTGTGCAAAGATGATCTCTTTCACTCACTTTGACATTTCTAAATGGGTCAACATTTCCCACCAGGAGACACTGTAAGCCAAGTGAGTGTTGTGGGCGTTTTGGTTTGCTAATCCAACATGCTTCCAGAATACTTTCTTAGGGTCAAGAGCGTTGCAGTAAGTGTGATCCTCACAGTTTAAAATCTTTAGTATCTTTCTGCACTTGTAGTTATAGAGCTGCTTATATGTTGTGCCCTCAGTGTAGAAAAAACAGCGCTTTGTTTATGTGGACATAAACACGGCCAACATGACAGGAATACTCAAACAATGGATACTGTGCCCCCCCCTGCGGCTAACTGACCCTCCTGGACCCACAATGCCCTGCAGACCCGCACATCACAGCCTTACCAGCTGTAATGGAGGAGGCGGATGTTAAAAAACAACACTGACCAGCTTGGCCTGCTTCTCAGCCTTCTTCGCAGCTTTCTCTGCTTCCTTCTGCTGTTTCTTCAGGCCTTTCTTTGACTGAGCCTGCTCCTCCTCCATCGCCCTGCAACAGGAAGAGGTACACAACATAAACATTTAAGTCAACTTCCACCATCTATTGCTCTCGCATCCCTTGAGGAAGTTATTGACTGCCTGGGAAAAAAAATGCATTCTTAGCCATCGCCACTTCCAGCTTCTAAGTCTGGGCTACCTTTAATCCCATTGTTATTTCAGACAAAACAGCTGTAGAGTGCGTGAGCGCAGAGGCGAGAGGCTTGGAGAGCGGAGATGTCAGAAAGTATGATTAGCTAGATAAACACTGCAGCTTTAAGAAGACATTAGTCTCAGCAGCACTTTCTAATCCATTATAGCATTTGTGAAGAATACAGATGATCTGATTATGATAACATTAAGTCTTATCTAAACGTAGAGGTGTCTTTATTTGCTAAATGTCAATGCCACACTCAAAGCTCAACACAATGTCAGTGCTGATAAGCATGTGACATTTGCCTATAACGTCAAGTTTGCTTGGTAGCAGCCACAAGAAAGTAAACTAAATACACGGCACTCTTTCAATGTAACAATTGTGTCACAATATAGGATGAGTGTAATGTATGAATGAAGATCATTTAAAATGGAGAAAGACTTTAGACATCTAACAGGCAAGAGGGAACCACACTAGAGCACAATATAAAGGGAACCGAGATTTAATAGGGTAACATTTCAACGTCAAATGTACGTTAAAGGGTATTGAGCATGCTTCCCTTGACCGTGACGTCACGTTAAATGTCGGTCTCTGTGTATCTTGTCCTTGTTGATGTTGCAAATGGAGCAGCTGTGATGCAAGAAAAATTTAAAAGTTGATCTCTCAATAAAGTATAATTGTATCATACAAGTTCACATTTTTTATTTGTTTCTTTTAATGTTTACTTTTAGGTTTGAAAATGAAAACGAAATGAAAAGTGATTTATGATGGCCTTTATCGATGCAACATCAGGGCATTCTCTGTAGTTTACTGAGGAAGTGATACACTACTGTTTTAGGTCAAACAACAGAAGGTTGTAAAAGAAAAAGCTGCAATAAACCAGGTACTCCTGTAACAGACTTTGTTAACAGTTTCCACTACTTCAAATCTTCACATGTGATAAGAGTGTGTGTTAAGGTTGCAGGTGGATGAGTTAGTGCCGTTTGGTTTTCCCCACTGACCAGGTGTCTAGACCTGAAGGAAGCCCACGAGCAAAATGGGAACTGCTCGCATTTCGTCACAGGAAATAACAAGGACCAAAGGCCAACTATACATAGCAATAAAACCTAAACAAGAAACACCAATCCCAACAGATGATGAGCTGGTCCTACGAGGGAGGACTTTAGACCAGGTGTTGTACTTCCTTTACACAACGTTTAGGATTAGACAATACCTGACAGGGTTTCCCGGTTAGACTTTGCACATTTGAAATTGGTTGTGGCTTTTAAAACGATGTGAAGATATTTTGTCTGATTCAAATATTTTATGATTTCTCATGAAATTGAATCTGACAAGTTCAAATATGAGAAGTTGCTGCACTGCAAAAAGGCCCCATCTTTCTCAGTAAAGCGTAAAACAAATAACTATAATGTATGATATTTTGTGTGTTTTATAATTGTTCACAACCGTGTTTAAAGAGCATTTGTTCTGTATGTATTGAATGCAACAAACAATCAAAACTATAAATAAGAGTAGCCTAATAAGAGAACCTCAGGCCGGTATTTATATCTTCCACCAACTAGTTGGATTTGTTAAACTGGATTCACAATTATCTTTCCCTCAGGCAATGAAGTGAGACTGGCTGTCTGGGACAGGCCCCAAACTACTACAATCTGCTCTCAAATCAATACAAAAACAAACCAGTCTGCACTGCTCATTTAGTTCAGACTCACACCCTAACCCACAATTATTGTTTGTACCATGGTTACACATAAACAGCCAATCCAAATTTGGCGAATTATGACATTCAACTGTCAGATGTCATCATCAGGTGTATTCATAAAACACAATTAATTAATGAAGCAGTTGCACATACAAAGAAAACCCTGTTGTGAGTCATTGTGTAAGACTTAGTCATCTGAAGTACACAACATTACGATTGATACTTTAAAATAAAAATGCTAAACAATGCAGACGTCCTACAATCCAAACATTTGTGACACAGACGTTTTCAAATGTTGTTGACAGGATGTGAATCAATTAATCGAAGCGAAGGATTGTGATTTGAATTATTGTGTAAAAGTGTTCCCCATATTTAAACCCCTCCCCATAATAACTGTGGTGCACAAAATACTAAAAACCTCTTATTTTTAATGCAATGAGATTAAGATTGAGGTAACACACAGGTTACTAATGTAGTATTTACTGCAGGGTTCTTATATTGATTTGCATTGCATCATACAGGTTTTTGTTTTTTTCCTGTCACTTAGTTTCTTCAACAACCTAATATGACACATTCCTTCATTTCTAATACACAGACTTTTCAACTGAGGGGGTCGTGGCCCATGACCAGAGGCACAACTGACAGCAGGGGAGTGTGCATGAACAGGACCAAACAGGTGGGGATTTAAAACTACTTTTAAAAAACAAAAACAATAAAATATTGTTTTGCATGTTGTAAACGAGGTTGCAAACACAAAGTATCACATTTCCTTGATTGCAACCAAGTTATTATTCACCACAGACACTAGCCACGTACATACATATATGCACATAGTTTATTTAGCAAGGCTACCATAAACTGAGCGATTATTTAATATAATTGGTGTTTAAATGAGACTGCACATACGTTAGCTATCATATGAGCTATATTTGTGTTTAGCTATATATTTCTGCTAAACGTCATGACTCATGATGTATTTACTTGAACTGTCAGATGATGCAATCTGCAGTCTGTTTTAGTAATGCTAGCTAGCTGCTAGCCGTTCTACTGTTAGCATACGCTAGTATAAGAGTTTCTGTGAGACGCTATTTATGACACGAACACATTTCACAGCGTTCTTACCCCTGGACTTCGTCTTTAGTCATGTTGAGCTATATTCGTGGAGAATGAGGACGAAATGTTTAACGGCTGTCAGTCAGAAAGAAGCACCACATCAGCTGTTCAAAGCATGGACGTGCACAGGAAGGAAGGACTTGTTTTGATGTAGCACCAAATACCGGAGACTCCGTCTAGAAACGACTCACTGAATCATAGTTCCGGCCACCTATTTTTCAGTCCTGCACATAGGTTATACAAAATAAGGGAACGGAAAAGTGTTTGTTTGGTTTTTAAATTGTTTCGAACTACTTCCATGATCGCTGATGAAAGAATTACTGTAGTAAAAATAGAAAGAAAGAATTGTGTTTTTTTTTGTTTTGATGTATGCCAATTATATCTGAAGTCCTTGCTTCTCTTTGTTTTTTTCTCAGATTGGCCTAGTGATTAAAACATTTTTATTTATTTATAAATGTCTCTTTATCATTTCATATAAATCCCCTTTCTTTTCTTTGATAATGCCGTTATTGTATTATAGTATCATGTGTGTATTCTCTGCTGTTGCATCTTTTTAATGTGTGTTAGAAAATGGCTGCTACGATATTTGATAAAATTATACCCATTACTTTGAAGGCATAAGCAATTTGTTCAAAAATAAAGTGTGCTTGCTAAGACATAATATTTGTATGAGAAACCAGACATAGCTTTTGGGAAGGTTGAATATTATGTGTAGGCTACATATTGTTTGTGCATAGAAATGTAAAACTTTATAAACTATGATAAACGGTCTAAGCGTGCATGCAAACCATGGAAGTTAATAAAGTGGTACATTATTATGTGGGTTTTCTATTTCATATAAAGACACACATAACTAAATCAATAGGAAGGGATATTGCTACACAACCAGCTTGTCAAAAATGAAATGCTGCGGTCTTCATTATTTTTGATTAGAAGGTTCCACCATGTGTGGTCATCTAGTAGTTATTATATATCCACATGTCACAAACACCACTATGTGTGGTCATCTAGTAGTTATTATATATCCACATGCACCCCTAAAAAGTGTCACTGCATGAAATGAGTTTCACGCCTTTGGTCGAGCTCTCTGAGTGCATCCAGGTATGCAGTGACCTTTGAAGGAATGACTGAGCGCAGTGAGTGATGGTGGGTTGAATACAGTGGGGGGTCATCAAAGCTTTTCTCAGGCTGTTGGCCACAGGAGCTCCTGATGCAGGAAACAGCTTTCCTGCTGCTCACTTTCCAACCAAAACAATGCAACCATTAGAGGAGCAGGTCGCTGTCCACAGGAACCTGTGGTATTAGTGTTCCTTTCATCCTTGTTTGCAATAGCCCATTTAAATGTATATCTGCATTTACTGTCACTGTTAATTGTATACATCTCAACAGCAAAACCTACATCAACACGTCCTGAACAATGGTCTCAAGTCGCGGTTTGAAACTGGCCCACTGGTAATGAATCACCAATAGAAAGTATTTCCTGTCCATTTCAACAGCTTTGCCCTTTAACCCACAAAGCAAACAAGACACTCTTCCCGACTTCAACATACACATATGAGTTTGTTCTTACTTATATATAAGATGTCAGAGAGGTTGGATTTTGCACAGGAAGTTTATATTGAGGCTTAGTAACAGATGAAAACATTATTATGTCACAAAAACCAATTCCATCTAAAATAAACACTTCTTCAAGTTGATGTATAGATTTACAGTATGGATGTTTATGTGTGTTTTGTTGAGCAGTAAGCCTTTTCTCACCACACAAAGAGAGCGAAAGCTTTAATAATGAATGAAAAAGCACCTTCTTGTCCCTGAGGGTTTATTCCCAAAGGGGCCCTGAGTACTGTTTGTGCACTCAAGTGGACCCTTTGGATATTTGGGATAAAAGCTTTATGTTTTGTCTTGGTGATAATGGTTATGTATTCCGAAAATGGTATGCAATATAGCAATAGGAACCAAAAAATCGATCCATAAAACAGATGACTTAAAAACAAGATATCATTCTCAGGAACAGTAATAAAAGCATATCTATTTTACTGTTTTTTTTAACCATGTTCTTCTTTGGGGCTTTTCCTGTTTTTCCAGCCTCTATTTTAAGGCAGTTATGCCTGTCATCACTTTTGTTTGTATTGACGTTTGCGACAGTTCGTGATAATGCAACATTTTAACAATTTGTCTACATTAATGATAGCTAAGCTCACTGTTATTTGGTTAAATAGTTTCCTAATATATTATCAGTTTACTGGGAAACTAACCATGCACATCAGGTAACATTTATGTACAGTAGATGATCTGATCCTGAAGCTCTCCTGATGCGGTGAAGAACTAGGAACCCATTTACACGGGAACGCAAACGAAACGCAAACGAACCAAATTCGATTTCAAAAAAGTCTTCTGTTCACACAGATACGGCTCAATAAACTTGTCCCTTCCCACGAGACCGTTCGATCCGCTGGAGACGCTGTAGTACATATGACGGGCCTGTAAGTGGTGCTGTACTTCCGCCACAAAATACACCAAAAGCAGCGAAGAAGACCCCTGAGCATGGTTGCCATGGTTGCCCGGTTGCCCTTCTGCTTATTCTCTGCGGTGGATTTAGCAACATGTAGCCTAGTTCATGTAGTTCTCCATGTCCACTTGTTGCAGATGGTTGTGGTAGAGGAGCTGTAGATTTGGGTGAGCAGCAGAGGTGGGCAGAGGCGGGGCTATGGCTTCATCGTTATCAGGAAAATTATCGTATAGGACGTACACACGGAGCCGTTTGGCCCCCCAGAGCGTTCCCTATACGCAGCTCTATCCTTGGAACCCATTATCGTTTTAGGGGTCCGTTTCCGAGGTTCCGATACGTCCTCATGTGAGCGAACGGGCTATACGAAAGATAAAAGTAGCGGATACAACCCGTTTCGTTCCCGTGTAAACAGTACCTAAGCAGCAGCATCTGAGCACTTGATGTGTTAATCTGCTCTGTCTCTGCAGAGACTGAGGCAGTGCGACTCTCATGCTAATTCTGAATTATCTGGGAACATTTCCAACTGAAAACAGCACCTATTGTTTTACGCCCGTTTCCCTCTGAGAGACCAGAGCCACAAATACCCTTTAACCTTGTGGCCCGATGGGGGCAATTCACACCTTTTTTACATGTAAAGAAATGGAAATGTCACTCCATTGGAGTCTTGAATGGATGCCGGCATTACATTGTACAACAGCCATTTGACGACTTAATTCTCCTTGACATCTTTTGTTTTCAGCTTCCTTTGGTCTGAAACTTGAACATCACCGCGTCACCAGTTCACCAAGATTACATCTCTTGTTTATAATTAAGAAAGTAGAGCACACAGAAAGATAAATGTCAGCATGTGTGCTCAAAAGTTGTTATTTTTATGCCTCATCTTGACATCTTTGTAATTTTGGCAGATTTATTGCGTATGATATATTGCATTAGTGCTCAACAAAGACTGTGTGTCTGCCTATTTGCATATTAAGAATATAGTCCTGAATACTATTATTTTGTGCTTTGTTAACTTGGAAATAGCTAAGACGACCCACTGACCTGCTCTTTTAAAATGAGTAAGCATAACACTTGTATACAAGCTTAATAAAAAGGAGGAAGTATATCTTGCAAAATGAAGAGAAAATTAGTCAAAGGAGAACTTAACATGCTATTTACTCTGTTAAGGAGCCATATGGGTGCTAATTATAACCAAGAATTCTGAGCTTTTGTGTCATGGCTGCTTAAGATGTAAAAGTGCACAGATGTTCCTACAATTACAGGGCCTGCCTGCTCAGTCCTCCTCCTGCTTTTTAGCCAGATCAGGTGGAGACATTTGTGTTAAGAGACTAGAGATAGGCGAGTCCTGATTCATCCGGATCATTAACCCGGATCCTAGAAATGAGCTGGTCGTGACGAGTCTCCCCTCTCCATTAACCCAAGTCCTTTTGAGTCCTACACCTGGTGACGTACAAATTAAAACTATAAATGTTGTCACTCGCTACTCTCCTTATAACATGTAAAATCACATTACAACGTACCCCAGTCCATCTGCCTAGCCCAGAGGTGCCCAGTACGTCAACCGCGGGGGCGCAACCACTACCGCAGTCGGCCTCCTCCCCCTTATCTTCACACCCCTTATACTATCGATCACAGTCAAAGCTCAAAAACGTCCGCCCCCTACCAGGATCTTCCGCTTCTCCGACTTTCGCCCGCCGACTGCCCAATCGAACAACGATCTGGTTCTCTCCGTTCACACGCCCTCTTCACACACACTCCGTCCGTCCCACACCACGGCGAACTTTTACGAGAACACAAGACACCCTGCCTCTCCTAGAGCAGCTACCGCCCCAGCACCCCCCCGCCCACAGCACCTTCTACTGTTCCCCCGCCCCCGCCCGCCGGCCCCCCGCGCCCCTCCGCCCCCACACTAGCCTTCACCGACCGCACAACAATAACGAAACACTTATTTCACAAATTTTTAGATGTGTGCGTGTTGTGTGGTGTGTGTGTGTTGTGTGTGTTGTGTGTGGTGTCGTGTGTGTGTGTGGTGGTTGTGTGGTGTTGGTGTGTGTGTTGTGTGTGTGTTGTGTTGTGTGTGGTGCTTGTGTGTGTGTGTGCGTGTGTGTGTGGTGTGTGTGTGTGTGTGGTGTCGGACTGATCACATGACAGGAGAAATCTCGGTCTATCGTAACGCCCAAGGAAACCACAACCCGAAACCCAAATCCAGGTCACACTTGCCAAACTGTCTCACAGGTCCCTTGTCGACTCCTCTCCCCTGAGAACAGTAGATTACTACGACGTCCCGAAATCACTCTCACCATCTCCACCCAGCCCGCCCCCGTGACAGTGAAGAAAACTCTACATCGCGTTATAAATTCAACAGCCGACTTTCTTATAAGGTGTCACTCTCACATACACAACAATCGAAAACGCAGCCAGCGTGACGTAAAACAACCAAACAGAGTACAAACAGAGATAATTGAAGTAACCAAAGCCGGCCGTGAGCTGACTAAACTAGACAGTTAGTTCAATTAGCCCCCCGACTTATTCACCGTCCCCTCCGGTTCCCTCCCTCCGCAGTTAAACCTAGTTACAGACTAAAATATGCCTCGACCTAAAACAGACTCTACTGAGCGCCTCAGAATGNTCGCTACAGGGTGTACTTTGAGGGTTTTGACTCTGCAGACCGTTTACATGTGCTTTTCCGGTTATTACCCGTCCCTTTGTGTGTTATGAAGGTTTTTATGCATGTAAACGGTCTGCAGAGTCAAAACCCTCAAAGTACACCCTGTAGCGAGTAAAACTCGATACGTCACTGTCCATTGATTCTTCCGGGTAACTCATGATGTCATGCGTTACCCGGAACCAAATGGACCAATCCGTGGAGCCGTTACGTTAAGCCCCCGCTGATTGGTCCAAATTGACCAATCCACGGACTTCCTCATACACACACTCAGTGCAAGCAGCTCTGCTGATCTCTCTTCCCTGGCTGCAGGCTGATAACAGACAGTTGGGATCGCGGCAAAATTCTCTCTGCAGACCCATTCTCACAGCGTTTATCAACTTTTTTCTTACTCAATATCAAGCCCCACTTATTGTTTTTACTTGGGCTGTGACTTTGTGTGTGCTCAGGGTGACTCTGGCTGTGTATCGCTAAACAAGGAAACCACACCTCCACGGAGCTCAGCGAGATTCACAACGTTCCGACCAATCAGAGCATACTGTGCTCACAGGGAGGGTGGGGGCTGGAGCTATTGGAGCTACAACGAGCCGTTAAAGGCAGAGAGTGAAATTCAGTGAATACACGTAATTTACAGAGATGCTGTATGAGAAACCAAAGTGATTTTGGAAAATTGCACAATATAAATCTATTGTCGTAGACCTCAACAATGGAATTATGATCAGTGGAAATGGCCATGAAATGGGACCTTTTAAATAAATAAAAGTCTGACTCCAAATGTTCACTGTAGAAAAACAGTGTCTAATACTCATGATGCAAATAGATAGGTTTGGTCAGACTACACAATGACTGCAAAATAATAAACCACTGAGCCTAGACTTATTGTATACTTTACAATGAAAGAAAATCCTCAGCATATCTACAGAATGTTCTGCTCTTCCTAGAGAGAATATTCACAAAGGACAATACATATTCATGTTTTTGGCAGACACAAGTATTGTGTCGTTAAACCTGGTTAAATAAACAAAATCCAGAGGAGAATGACTCACACTGATTAACATGACATTCTGTGAGTAACGTCACCCTGTGAGGTTTAGCCCTCTCCATGCAAACTGTGATTTCCTCACACCGTGTTCATAAGAGCCAGGGCTTTTGAATTCCAATTAAGCAAACAATGCTGAATCATTTGGGAGAATCATGATGCATTCAAGAAGTCATTACGTTCCCCACCCACAGTTTAGGTGCTTATTAAATCGTGGGTAGGTAGAATTGGAGAAGACAGCAAGAGTAAACTTGATTTTAAAGAATTATTCAATTAGAAAAACCTAGCCCTATGTCGCTGATTGAAGTAGCTATAAGCGCTAGCTCCATCAATTGCTAAATCCAGTGAGAGAGTTGCAAAACGGACATCCTTTTAGCTACAAGTCTCCCTCTAAAGCCACTCCCCCAAAACTGTTATTATGATCGAACTATACCATAATTAAGATAGACAACAAATATGGTTATTGTGATTGTCTTCTCTTTCTTTTCTTGAGCATTTGATTTGTTTATTGTTGTCTGAATGTAAAAAGCATTCTACCATATGACACATATTTGTATGCAATACATTTCCACCCCTAGCTATAATTGTCATTAAAGTTGAGGCTGCTGTTTTGCAGCGTGAATCAGCAGATTTGTCATCATCAGTCAGTTTGATTAAGGTGTGATCGTTTGGTGATTCAACTCAAGAAACTATATATTATATTCTTCTAGGTTTGGTTTGTACATTGTGAACCAGTATGTATCATTGAATAACTCTCTGCATATGGGTACGGCAGTATAGGCTTTGTGTCTGGTCAAACAAGTTGAAAAACATTGATGTAGTAATCTTGACAACAACAAAATAACTGAAATATTGAACTGCATTCTGGGAACAAAACATATTTCTCTGAGGAATATGAATTTGCTTTATTCAAAGTGTAACAATAAAGCAGCCACAGCTGTGTGATGCTGTCAAATCCAGATCATTACTAATGGATGCAGTCAAATAATTGCCACACCAAAAAAGCTATAGTTTTCCTTCAGCTTTGGATCCATCTTCTCCAATATAAAATTATATATTATCCTATTACTTCAGTTATACATCATGAGAACATCTATAAATGGCCTCCACTGTACCAGGGAGACAGCTGAGAGGTGCTGCATGTTTATCCAGTAAGCCCATCTCCGCAGCTGCAGCAGCATCCAGGTGCTTTCTGGGGGATTCAGCATGTCAGTCACACACTCGTAGCAGCACCTGCCCTCCCGAGAGACAGGAGCCTAACAGCCCAGCCTATCCAACTGTATGCCGTCTAACCTTCTGCCCCCTCTGCGTGGGGCTCTTTGGAGCAGGATGTGGCTATACAGGCTATTAGCTCAAACCCCAGCGGGTTCTGAGGAAGCCTGACATCCACGACCCTGGAAGCAGTGGTTCCTCCTGTGGTGAAACATTTATTCTTTCATTTGTTTTTTATTCTTTCCTTTTTATTGCCCTGTTGTCCCACATTGCAGATTTTTTTTTTTTTGTCAAAGTAAGAGTTGTTGCAAGAAACAAAGCAAATTTAATATTATTACTTGTTTGTTTAAGAATGGTCATTGTGCTGTGTTTTATTAGGAGAAATAACAAGCTGGTATTTGGTTTTTCCCAGGAATAATAATCTACGTTAGCTGATATGTGAACTATTGTTTTTAAACAGAGACTGACTTTCATGTGACCTTGTATTGTCTTCCTCTAAAAATGTACACATGACTGGCCGCAAACACCAAGAACAGATCAGTTTCATTGTTGAATATTTCATAGTCTGGGTTTCTTTTTGGTTATCTGATCATGTTTTTCTGTTTGCCCTCAGGAAGGCAGAGCCACAGTCAACCAGGACACAAAGCTGGACAACAGGGTGATTGATCTCAGGGTAAGTTTCTACCTGAGCTGAGGAGAAAAACAAGTGAAAAAATCAGTGAGCTCGTGACACAGCCAGCACAGGATCTGTCTTGATAAATCCAATCTCCATAGTTCACATTTGATGCTTGTGTGTATATCTGGGGAGATGAAAAGACCTGTTAGCTTAGATATTTGAGGCTATATCCGTTCAAGCAAGTCTTTTCAGGGCTAATTATCGATATTTTCTTGCGAAACGAGTTGTTTAATTCATTTTAAATGTTCAAGTTCTATAATAACAAGGGGTTTCTTGTTTTATTGTTTGCATTTCAATGGTCTGCAAAGGCTTAAATCCCAAAGTTCCCTCCAGTGGGAGTTTCTCTCCCACAACCCCCCTTCTTATTAAATGCCTCCATTGGACTCCTTTGTATACTTTGGCGCCATAGTGACATCACCATGTGATACTCACTCTTCAAAAGGCTAATGCTCCAACGCATTGTTCGTGATACGGGGTGGGACATCGTTAAGCGGTTGACCAATCACAACAGAGCCAGCCAGCAAACCAATCAGAGCAGACTGGGCTCTGGTTTCAGACAGAGGGTGAAAAGAGGTGCTGCAGTATGAGAAAAATTAAGAGCTTTTTGAAAATGGATGAAGCATGGAAACATGTCACAGTAGAGACACAACATACAAATAGGAACCTGAAGATTAGCATAATGGACCACTTTAATGTAACTAACATTTAATCACATAGTAAACTAAAAAATGGTTTAATTAACAATCAAAGGAGAAATATTAAGCATTTTTGATTTAAAAGTGAAGGCTGGCAACATTTTACGCTATTAAAAAAATGCAAATCAAACGGAGGTAGTCTGTGATTTAGCGGGCTGATGCTATCAGTCTCTAACAATGTGGGAGATGTGCTAACCCTGTACCAGCAGCAGCAGATACCTAGCCACAAAGCATTTCATTGTCTTTGATCTGTGCCCCTCACATGTGTTATGCGGCAGGCAGGAAGACGCTCGCACCACACAGCCTCACAACAACACCTGTTTCTGTAGCACGGAGCTCTTTGAGCTGGTGGACGCAGGTCTGTCATCAGTTCTGCACTTTAGAGCGGAGTGAAGCTATAAAGTGCTTCCCACACTGAACACAGACACTCCAAAAGGGAACCATGTGCCTCAACCAATAATCATTTAGTTTCTACAGAACTTCCCGTGTAACTTGACCATCCGTAACATAAAGTGTTTACTCGATATCACTGGAAATATTAGCTTGACATTTTATTTGTATTTTAAAGGTCAATTTTAGTTTTCTTCAGTTCAATATCAGAATGAGCTGTCTGACAGCAAAGTTAAGCGGTGAAATTGTTCTCAATATAGCTTACGCTTATACATTTTTTTGTATACGTAGGCCATTTGAAGGGGGGTTAAAATACAATTTACTCATGCGCCCGAAGTTTGAAAAATATGAATTCTTTAAAGCCCAAGTTGCTAGTTTTCTCATGTAAAAACAAATTCTCAAGATTTTCAGTTTGCTATCACATTAGAGAAAGAAAAGTAGCTAATCCTTGCATTTAACAAGCTGTAACAAGTGAATACTTGACATTTTATAATAAAGTAAAACTTTAAACCTAAAGTAGGTGATTATTTTCTGTCAGCCTCTGATTGATTATTTGTTTCAGCTTGGCCTATTGTTGTCACACTGGAAATGTTTTGCTACTGTGGAAAACTCATATATCAGTAAACCGCATTCAAACGGCAGAGAATCCAATTATTGAACCTTTGTTGAAGTGGAAACTCTCCACGTTACTAAAAAGAAGAATAAAGGTGAACCCAGGAAAACATTGAAACCCTCCTGTGGTGGATCATCCCGCAGGCGGGCATCAAACCAGCGCTGCGTGCCACATTGAGGTATGCGAGGTGCAGGTCTATATGTGGCCCCACACTCTTGGGACACCATCAGAAACAGTTTGAAAGTGTGCTAACCGCTACCCACCCACTCATCACCTTTACTCTGTCGACAGTCTGTAAACAGGAAGTGCTTTCTAATCTCTGAAAGTGGTCCTGCACATACTGGTTTTGATTTTCCCAGGTTTGACACGAAGCTAAAGGCACAAATGAGCAATATGAAATATGTGGTTAAAATGATAGTTTTGGTTCACAGCTCTTTAAAGGTTTTTCCAAACGGACAAATGTACCTCTTACTCGTCTTCTTCTTTTTGTAACAAATTCAGATTTAGACTGAAAGAAAAGGAACAGCCAGACAGCCCTGAAGCAATGTCTACAGGTTAATGAGCCTGCCACTATTTGGACATTATCACCTTTCCATTCTGCAAACTGTTATCCAAGAGAGGCAGCCACGAGTAATGGTGGGGGAAAAAAGAGTGAAACCTTTTAATTAACGCAGAGCTGTGAATCTCGAAAGGGACCGAGATCTGTCTTCATGGAGATGTAAAATAACGGACAGCAAGTAAACCTCAACTGTTGAAAATGTTGAGGTCATTTGAGATGAGTCAGTTGATCGAAGGGGAGTGTTTCTGACATGCTCTGTGGCCTAACTGTTGCAGTTTTGGAGGGGGATTTGGGGCTAGGGTTTACAGTAATCTCCTAGTTTTAGTTTGAGCTGTTTTTGGACCCCGCCCTGGGTTTCAGCATTTACATTCATAATGATAGGTCTGCAGTACCTGGGGCTCCGGCTGGCTTTTATAAGCACGTTCTGCCCTTGCCAGCAAATAAATGCTTCGCCCTTCATGTCGAGAGCAGATATTGGCAGTCTCATTTTTTAAAACATCTGTTATGATTGCGTAATAAATCCAATAAATCAAGCTAAGTGTAGTAATCTCCCTGTGTGTGTGTTTCCTCCCAAAGACCACCACCAGCCAGGCCATCTTCCGCCTGCAGTCAGGAGTGTGCAAGCTCTTCAGAGACACCCTCACCAATAAGGGCTTTGTGGAGATCCAGACCCCTAAAATCATATCAGGTACAAACACACTCACTGTCACGTTGATCCTGCCCCAGGGGGAAGGGAACACTAAACATGAAATGAATCATATTTGTATTGCATGTTTAAGTAGAGGCACGCTTGTTTCCATATCACCACCCACAGGTGTCCCGTGAGTCATCGTGTGACAGTTGTAAAGTCGGTTTCATGTATCCATTATTTTTCATATCAAACTTTTGAAAAACAGTTTGAGTGAGTAACAAACAGTCATAAAAATTAGTTTTGAAGCAAACACCTGACAGGGAGGTATAAGAAATATTTTTTTTGTTTAAGACCTATCAGGATTTTAATCTAGCCCAATGGGAATTGAGATGCATCGACCAACTCTCACATCAGCTCCTCCACTCGCACATTTCCACACCTTGCCTTTCTAATTTGACAGGAGAGGCCTTTCATAAGCTTGCTCCCAAAAGACATTCTCCTCTTTTATTGAAAGAAGAAGAGTCAGAGATCTACGCACAGATATTTGCAAGAAAGTTATTTTGAGTTTCCTGACACGCTACCCCTCTTACCCTGGTGTTTTTCCTCTACATCACATATGGGGGATGACATGTATACAGTTTACCTTGTGATTAAACTTAAGTTGGAATACATTTGATCTTAAAAGCCTAGAGAAAAAAGCTATGTGTGGTGTTTTATAATATAATAATACAAGCTTTATGTAAGTCAGCAGGATTAGTCTAAAATCATCTATTATAGTATATTGAATTTCTCACAAGAAAAAGTACCCTTCTGTGCACTGCCACGTGCCTCTGGGATTTGAAATAGACTGTGGCACAACCTACGACAGTCTCACTTCCTCTTTTCTTTAAGAGCCAATGATATGGGCCTAGCCTGGCATGGCTAAATTCAAAAGTGGCGCTCTTTTATTTTGGCGGCACAAGTAGTGTAGTCGTAGTGTACAATGTGTGCTTTTTGTTAAAACCGCATCTTCCTGCCTGCACACACCCATGGTACACAGCGTGTGCTGTGTGAATCCGCACCCTGCTATTGACGTGGGAATGAGAGAATATCAGATAGTACCCTCTGACGCATGTGCCAAATAAGGAAGCACAGATGTGTTATGACAGTCTGGCGCGCGTTAGGCCAGTATTTGTTTGTTTGTTTTGATAAATTGCGAGGCAGCTGTTATTAGTTTTTTGATGACATTTTTTGACTTTTGTGAACATCCAAACAAGTGAAAGGTCTGTGGCATAGTCTCTGTTGCCCTGAAGTCAAAGGAATATTCTTATTGTTCAACAAAAAAACATTACAACCTAGTTTAATGGAGTTCCAACTGATACCTCTTTCGAAACGGAAATATGTTAGGATTGCCCCTGATTGCAAATGTGTCAGCCGATATCCATGTTTAGAATATTACTTTGGCCAATGTTGATGTTTTTTCTGTCTTTTCTTTGTCTGTTATCCATTTCCATTTTGTGCCAGGGAAACAAAAACATATTTTTCCTTCAGCCTTTCATCACACACCTTTTTAAATTAGCACAAATTCAGTCAAACTAATTCATTAAACTACCTTTGATAGAATATTATTTCACAAAACAATTAAAAAAGCAGTTTTTCTTTCATTTGTAATGATTATAAAACATATTATTGCATCATATTGCTATTCATTCATTTACATGTTAATAATATACAGACAATTTCTTAGTTCATGCATTTATAGATGTATGGTGAATAAAGATGAACAGAGACTATGTGCTGACTCTCCATCCCTCATGTGTATACCATCATTAGGGTGGCGTGTCTACATTTGTAAACGGAGAAATCTCAGTTTACTGCAAAGTAAAAAAATGTGTCAAAAACAGTTGTATTTGAAGCATTTCGTGATGGTAAAACCTCATCTCATATCTAAAAGTTGTGTCTTTACACTTCTAGCTGCCAGCGAGGGCGGAGCCAATGTCTTCACTGTGTCTTACTTCAAGACCAGCGCCTACCTGGCCCAGTCCCCCCAGCTCTACAAGCAGATGTGCATCTGTGCTGACTTTGACAAGGTCTTCTGTGTGGGTCCAGGTGAGACTGTCCACTCAACACATTCTCATTCACTGACTGCCAAATGAGCAGCAAGAGTGTCGTGAAAAAGAACGTGGACCCCATTAACTGGGATGACAGTTTGAAAATGGCTGCAAATGCATTTAGAGTGTTAAACTTTAACAGACCTCCCCCTGTTGCTTTCACCGGGGTCAGAGAGGCAGCAGAGTGTTGGTGACACAATGGACTTGTAAAATACTTTATGGCGCTGTTCTGAGTTTAGTAGACCGCTCAGTTCTTCAGGTAAGCTAACACTGCCACCATCTGATTGAATGTAACAAAATAACAAACATACAACACATTCGATATGCAGTCTTCCTTTTTCATTTGCCTCACGCATGTTATTTTAAAGTAAAACACGTCTTGGCACCGAAATCAATGAAACATTGGAGAGATGGTGGTCATTTAGTATTCTGCAGAGCGGGCCGAGGTCTGCTTCTCTGAAGCTCTGCAGAGAAATCAAAGGGCTTAAGGTCATCACTGCTTCTAAGGAAACTGTTTACTTACCACTGTTGCCTTAGATACGGATGCTCCAATTAATCTAGTAAGGAGAATTGGGACTCGAAATCCCAGTGGCCAGAAGTACTGTTGCCATATGTAGTTTAGAGTTGTTTCAGCAAATGCATGCCATATAACTATGTAGGTGATAGACTCTGTGGGCATACCAAAGCATAAATATGTATGTACAGATCTATAAATCCGTACATATGCAGGTTTTTTCAAAATGAAATTGTGTGCAAGTGCACATACCTGATTTACACATTGAAGCAACTTTAATTGCCTGCTTGCATGCATGTGTAAAGACCCGTCTATTTAAAAGAACAGAAAGAAAGAAAAGCTCACATCAGCAAACCCTCCAACACTTCACAGCTCTGGCTGATTGCTTATTGCACTTATTATTTAATAATGATCACAAAAGTACCTGCCATCAGTGATGATTTAGACTCTAGCATTCATCGCATAGATATAACAATCCAGGATAGAATGAAAGTAACAATAAAGGAGAAGGACTTACAGTAGCTACATGTCTGGTTTATGATTAGCATTTTAATAGGATCACTAGTATTTTATTGTTGCCTTTACTGGTGATATTATAATAGTATTCAAAGTTTCAAACACATTGATTGTGTGACATCATGGGAATATTGTGTCCAGATGGTTACCCTGGTGACCTTTTTAGTGTTCTTTTGGATTGTGACCTGGTCAGGGGTATATCTTTTTGCATCCTGCCACTTTTCCTCCATTTCCCCTGTTAAGACATTTATATGAATTTGGCATCCGTTCAGTTTTCAGGGCAGAGGACTCCAACACCCACCGTCACTTGACCGAGTTTGTGGGTCTGGATATCGAGATGGCCTTCAGCTATCATTACCACGAGGTCATCGACTCCATCACTGACACCATGGTGCAGATCTTCAAGGGCCTGAGGGACAAGTAAGATCTGGATTCATTCAGTGGAGCTCAAACTAACAACATTGTTGATTTTGACTTAACACGTTTTCAGGGTATTTGTTTTACTCAGACTGAGGTGACGGTAGAACCAGAAACAGATTACATCCCAGAGTGCTTTTAGGATTGTTTTCCTACTCCAAACAGTCGACAGAATCAATTCCTGAAATGAAAATTCAGTTGGTGGGGAAAAGTCCAAATATTGTAGGGTAGAACTATTTCAGCTGTAGAATCCATCTTTAAAAGTTTTCACCCACTTCTGCCCATGTGGCTTTACTGCCACCTAGTGGAGAGACTCAGTGCAGCACATGTAAAGAGCTGTTCAACTAAAATACAAGGCAAAGCTCTTTTGGCGGGCCCATATTTTATTTATTTCTCATGGCAGCCCTGATGAAGAACAGACTGGCAGCGTACATGGTGACACATCCAAACAGGCTGCCTAAATGAGGGATTTATAAAGTTATTCTGCATTTAGTTTCAGTTTAATCATCAAATCTATTTTTTACTAGCATTCTAAGTATTCTGTAGCCATGCTGTATTGTTGAATGTCTCTCCTGTTAGCAGTCAGCATGAATTCTTGAGAATATTGTTAATTGAGAAAAGTAGAAGGGACTTTACATTGGACAGTTCGGGGAACATTTGTGTTTATTTTCCACTTTTTATCTGGTTTTGTTCTGGAAATAGGTGATATTTGGTTCCATAATGATACCAGCCTCCTTTATAGTGTAAATGTCCCTCTCTGTCTGTTCCAAAAACAATCTCTGTTCCTCTTTCTCAGGGCGCTTTGACATTTTAGCTGTTCCTCCTTGACGTAATAATAATTCTACATGCAAAATCTGTTAGTTGTGTCTCATGCTGCTTTGAAAAACATTGATGATGCTTATGCCATTCAGCCTAATATTTTAGCACCTTTGTTTTGTCACTTGTGATTGAGTTACAAGCATTGCTCCTTTTTTCTACCTCCACAAGTTTTGCTCTGTTTATAGTAAGACAAATGTAGAATATGCTTTAGAAAAATATAAAATGCCTCTGTAAGTAAGTGTGGGCTGTGACCTCGTTAAGTGAACCACCAACAGCAAGTTGTCTGACATTTGGCTGTGTGGGCAGGAATTCTGAACCCTGGTTAGTAGATTTGAATGTGTGTGTCTCTCCGCGTCAGCTTCCAGACGGAGATCCTGACGGTGAACAAGCAGTACCCCAGCGAGCCTTTCAAATTCCTGGAGCCAACTCTGAGGCTGGAGTACACCGAGGCTCTGGCCATGCTGCACCAGGCTGGGGTGGAGATGGGCGACGAGGAAGACCTCAGGTCAGAATCCATCACACAACTCTGCTGCCAAATCCCACTCATTCTGACTTGATTTGACAATAGCAGAAATACATTTGGACATGAGTTTAAACAGAGGAAAGGGGACATCAGACCAAAAACTTGATTTTAACATTCAAGCCTTTCTTTGATCACGGCTGTTTTTTACACAGTTAATTTTAAATGTTTTTATTGAAACAGCGTAAAACCACTAAGAACATTTATTTTATGATATTTACTTGCAGGTGAGTTGCTGGTAAACAACGGGACAAAATAATATAAAGTTATATTTTCTAAGTAAATGTCTTTCTTTTTTTCTGTCAGTACACCCAATGAAAAGCTGC